TTTATGGTGCTATAAGCCACTTGACAGGATGGACTGACGACGTTCTGCTCACAGAGCCGACGCTCTGCCACTAAGCTAAAGTGACGCAGAGAGTAAGTACATAAATCAATAATCTTTCTGTATCCTTTGCGGAGTGAGCAAACCTGCTCCTGCTCCTCATACCCGACTAGAGCCTAATGCTGCTGTAAGCCACTTGCCAGGATTGAACTGACGACCTTCTGCTTACGAAGCAGACGCTCTACCACTAAGCTAAAGTGACGCACAGATTAAGTATATGAATCAATAATTTTCCTGTCTCGTTCACAGAATGGGCCATCCTGCTCCTGGTTCTCGTACCAGACCAGAAACTTATGGTGCTATAAGCCACTTGCCAGGATTGAACTGACGACCTTCTGCTTACTAAGCAGACGCTCTGCCACTAAGCTAAAGTGGCGCACAGAATAACTGCATAAATCAATAATGCAAGGTGAAAACCAAGTGCAACTTGGTTTCCACCGCGGTGAAATGCCTCCAAGTGGATTTGAGCCGGGTACGCCCGGTCAGGGCGCTCGCTCATCACGTAGCGTGATCGATTTTGTTCGAAGCCTCGCTGGAAAATGGGACCGTTCGGTCCATAGGTTTCTTTTTTTTCCACTCGTCTTCTCTATGGTATTCGTCAGGACCCCCCCGTCTGGTTACGTCCTCGAAGCTCAAGTGAGGCATGCTTGATGGGCTATACCCCCCGTAGGGGGGACCCCTCCCATTCCTTCTCTTACGTGGATCTCGAGTCCCCCCCTCCTCCTTGCTCTTGGCTTTCGAGCCTGCTTGATCTAGGCCTTGAAGGCCTGGCCTTCGGGCCCTCACTTGTTGGACTCTCGAGTCCTCTTCCTCTTGACCTTCGGGTCATTTATACTCTCAGCCTTCGGGTTCTCTCCATACATTCGCGGCCCTTGGGCCTCTCAAATGCGGAACTTTCGAGTTCTCTTCCTCTCTTGCTTTGCAAGCCTGGGTTAAGGTTGTCATCGTCCCTCTCGGGTTTTCAGGTTTCATCAGACCTCTATGTCGCCGCCTACAAAGTCTGGCAGGCCACCCAAGGAAGCTCTAGTTCCTACCGAGGCCTCAGGAGATACTGTTGCTCCAGGCAAGCCCTCTGAGGGTGCTGCAGCTGCTGATCAGTCCGGCGAGGCCCCTACGGTCTCTGGTGAACCATCTCAGGATGCGGCGGGCATAGCCGCACTCACTAAGCCCCGTCAGGTAATGCCCCCCCTTTTCTTTTGACTTCGTCGCGGAAGTTGTTCCCCTTAGACGCGCTCATCGTC